ATTTCTTCATGTTGCGGATGCGGCTGGGTTATTTTGGGATGGGTTCTGCTGGGGCAAAATTCTCTCCGAGTGAACTGCCTCGCTTAACGCCTTCCCTGAGCAGAGCAAACAAAGTCATTTACATTTTCCCAGAGGATCTTCTACGGGATTGTAGGATTTCACATGAGACTGTAGGAAATTGTCGTGGCTGGATGGGTTCTAGTGAGATTGAGATTGAGACGGCTAGCAAAGCGTTCGTTTGAGATTGCCAAAAAACTAACCTCGGATTAAGGTGAATCGGTCACTATTGTTCCATCCTGGCCTCTTTCTCGTGTAACTAGGCTATGTTTGGTAGCGAAGCACTAGAAAAACTGAAGTATTAAAAGCCAAAGTATTTTAGTCAGTAGGTACAAGATACTACAGTTTTCACATAGCAAAGTATCTTGAAGTATTGAGAATAATGTGACCCGTTTGGCAAGTGCTTATATGCACCAACGTCAATTAGCTAGCTAGCATATGAAGCAGTTGCAATGCGCGCCTTGCTAGCTAGCTGGACGCACTGAACGGGCATGCATGACAACCAGCCGCATGCACTGAACTACCATGCACAAAGCTAGCTTACAGGAAAAGAAGACACTTGAACACGACACAGAGCTGCCGGCGGCTAAACGTGGGCTCGCTCTCCAAGTTCAAGGGCGCCTCGTTCCTCTCAACTGGCACTGTGTAGTTGGAGGGGTAACGAAGCGGCCACAGAGGCAAGTGCCAGCGGTCAGCGAGAAGAGACAGAGGACAAAGATCAACATACTCACGCTCTTCTCTCATTTGACGTCTTTTGGTTTGTCCCCGGCGGAGACAATATCCACAGGCGACATGGCGGCTGTAGCTTAATTAGAGGGAGGAAGAAGATAACTACGCGGCTTTTCCTACTTTCTTGCGCATGCTCTGTTTTTAAAAAAGAGGTCAATGGTTCTATTTTTAAAACAGAGAAAATACTGTGGTTTTGTAAATACTGCTGTTTTAATACCACAGTTTTTAGTCATAACCAAACAGCTCATAGTAATTAATACTATGGTATTTTGAAAAACTGCAGTATTCTTCAAATACTTCAAAAATACTTTGTTATCAAACAGGGCCTAATTGACTTCTTCTTTCTCGTGGAATTATTTATGGTATGAAATAAATTGTTGCCTTTACGCACAATAGGGTATTAACTCTAAGATTTTGTTTCCATTTGTAAAAGAGAGAAATATTGAATTAGGGGTCTCCCACTGCAATGTATCTTAAGATGTATCGTATGCACTAAAATAGGTCTTTAGATACAATTAAATATTCCACCGCAAAAAAGAAGATGCAATTAAATATTCTCTTTACGCACAACAGGATATTAACTTTAAGATTTTGTTTCCATTTGTAAAAGAGAGAAATCTTGGAATTAGGGGTCTCCCACTGCAATGTATCTTAAGATGTATCGTATGCACTAAAATAGGGTTTTAGATACAATTAAATATTCCACCGCAAAAAAGAAGATACAATTAAATATTCCCTTTACGCACAATAGGATATTAACTCTTAAGATTTTGTTTCCATTTGGAAAAGAGAGAAATCTTGGAATTAGAGGTCTCCCACTGCAATGTATCTTAAGATGTATCATATGCACTAAAATAGGTCTTTAGATACAATTAAATATTCCACCGCAAAAAAGAAGATACAATTAAATATTCCCTTTACGCACAATAGGATATTAACTCTAAGATTTTTTTCCATTTGTAAAAGAGAGAAATCTTGGAATTAGTGGTCTCCCACTGCAATGTATCTTAAGATGTATC